GACTTACAACTGACAATATCAGCCACAAGGCTGCCTTTGTTTCCCTGAAGACCAGTGCACTGGACTTACAACTGACAATATCAGCCCCAAGGCTACCATGGCTTCCGTGAAGACCAGTGCACTGGACTTACAACTGACAATATCAGCCACAAGGCTACCTTTGTTTCCCTGAAGACCAGTGCACTGGACTTACAGTTACAACTGACAATTCCTCATCATTCAATAATAGCAATCTCAGATGCCAAGTTTGTGACTCAATATACACTGTCCCTGCCTGTCAGCATGTCACTACTGTTTGCTAGAACATCCCAATATTATCTTGTATCCACCGTATCAACTTCTTTATTAGTTTGTAATTTGTTTTACCGACTCTGAATCTTAACCCTTTCACACACAAAATGCTAAACAACCAGCGTAATGACCCCTCAAAATTCTTTCCCAAAAAAATTTGTGAAACAAACATGCTGTGACACTGTGACCTTTATCATTAGGGTTTACAGAGAATTCAACGACAATTTTGCTTTACAAAAGCTATTTTTAGGTAATATAGTCATATCCAGACCTCCTCAGAGTTGGGAATGCATGAACAGAACCAATCACATTAAACTATGCTTCTCTGAAGGTCAGTTTCTTGACCTTTATAGTAATGTGGCAGCCAGGGAGAAGTCTGGTTCCGCCTGGGGTAACAGGAATGTTATTTTTTTTTTTACTGATGAAAGTTTCTTAGCAGTAACACCCTTTCTGTCTTACCTGGTCATGTCCTGTAATGCTAAATAGCGGCACTAGGCTTTTCACTACTTACGAATGTTGAAATAACAAGAAAGAGAGGATAAATTATTCAAACGATTCAGCAGTGTGAAAACAAAAAAAATTCAATGAAAGAATACTTGACAGAAGATTTAATGAACAGAGATGGGAGAAAAATATCACATGGGAAACACATACAGATAACAGAACAAAAGAATAAAACAATCTCCAGCCGCAGGAAGACAAAAGTCACAAGAAATAAACTGCTGTCATCAAACAGAATAATAATACAATAACCTAAGCTTTGCTTCGGAAGTCCCAGCTAGTGCTGCGAGGAGTGGCTATGGGATCTGACCGACGCTCAACATTCAGAGGCAAGGTGAGATGGATATAGAATCAAACTGTTACTGGTACCATAGGAGTTGGAACTCTGAACTTACTGATGATGGAGATGGAGTGCTTATAAGAATGCCCTGAGTTTTAAGATGTCAGTTCATGATTCAGCATTCAACATTTCATACTTGCAGTCACACAGCTACTGGTTTACAAACTTGAAGGAAAAGGTCAAAGGTACAGGAGAATCATCAGACAACCAATGAGAGGACGTAACCTCCAGTTACAACCACACATTGCCCTGAATCTGATACAAACAATCTGTGTCCATCTGCATTTTACCAGGGCCCATTAGGAAAGCAAAGAATAGCAATAACACCATCCTACCAAGCATGTCATAAAAGACAACCAAGGAGAGTTGATGTGTGACAGACCATACCATCCCATACAAAACTTTAGATGCAAAATTCCACCAACCAAGCAAAAGTTGATAAAAAGCTTGTTGTAAGCTGGATGAGATCTGTGTTCCAAGGGGAAATAAAAGGTAGATGCGGATGAACTGAAAATCCCTGAGAGAAGCTATAGAAGCCAAGGTAGATAATGAAGAAATAAGAGGACAATCCAAACATAAACAGTTAAAGCTACAAGCGCTGACAATACACAGGCATGAAGCCTTCAGATGACAATGGCACTTGATTTGACGGACAACTGGGAACACTTGACAAGAACAGTTCTTGTGTCAGCGAAGCAGTGACACCCTTGGCCGGAGACAAGAAGGAATCCTGTTGTGCCTATAGCTTTCCATTTCTAAACTGTCTAGTGTTAACTGGTCTCCCCTTTCTTCTTTTACTTCTATGAGTGTGGGCTCCAGCTGATCTACTTATTCGCAATAAATCAAACCCTGTGAATTTCTTTCTCATGCTTCAAATCAGGTTCTCCTACAGTAGGTTCTGAGGACCCACCTGGGAAGAAAAAAAGACTATCCTAGCCCCACTAACAAGCATGTCATAAAAGACAAACCCAATTAGGGATTTGCTGCTTTGCTGAAATCAGACATGTAGGTCCAAATGGTTCATTTATCACAGCCTAGCTGTAAAAACACAGTGTGCCAACCATCAAATTCAGAGCAAATCTAGAAGAAGCAGCAGGTTGAAGGGTTCCCCCAACGATTGATACTTTTATAAACTTGGTCAACAAGCAGAGGACAAAGAAAGATGGCCAGTTTTCTGTGCCAGAGCTTGGATCGATACACCACCACGAGCCTAGCAGGTCAAGGGTTATTTCATGACACTTATGCCTTTTACAGAAGCCTTCATGCTGCACCCAAACACTTCAATAAGTCAACTCTCTGTCTTTATTTCTTCCAATATGGCAATTTTCTAATTAGCTTTTTCTCAGGGTCAGCAATTCCCCTACCCCAGTAAGACATCAGCGTAACATTTCACCCATTTCACACCCATTATAACTGGACTTGCCCCCAAAACAAAATTACGAAAAAAAATTATTCTACAACCTGGAAATCACTGAATTTATAGTAAAATAAATAAACACCTATGTCATCTCCACAATGAAGGTTGCTTCAGTGTACTACTGTTGTCTTTGGGTATATACGGATAAGGCCCTAATCCTTTTAACGGTGAGACTCTCGTACATTGCCTCAAGCTGGTTTATCATTTTTCACTATCACCCTGTGCATCACTCTTGACCGGCTTGTAACCACTTTTCTGATCTGTAATGTGGTCAAGGTTACCAAATCAGCCATCACTTAATTCCTCTAGCCATACTCCCTCTCTGACAGCATCTTATATACCAGCCCTGTCAATGTCTCTGAACTCAGCTTTCACAATATTTAAACTCAGTCACCCCCAAACAGTGAGCCTACTTCTTCTCCTGAATCCCAACCACTGGGCAATGTGCCTCCTTACTTTCTACATCTGGTCAGAGAATACTAAAGAAATCTGGCATTTCCTATGGCCATCTCTACTATACAGACAACATCTGGAAGTAGTGCACTCTTATTCTGCCACATTGGTTAATCTGGGGCATGAACACTTGCTGTAAAACCTTCACGGACTAAAAGATTTGAGCAATTTATTTCTTGGTTGTAATGTTTATCCTGTGTGATGCTTACGCTCATAACCTAATTCACTGACATCAAATTGACTTCATTTAAATAACTTACATTTCATCGAAACAAAAACACATTGTATTTCTTTGAGAAGAAACAGACCAAGCCACAGAAACTATTCCTCCCATCTGCAGATAAATACATGATGAAAACTGTCTTCTCTGTCTTGCCTGACACTCCTAGGTTGTCCCAGCAGATAAAACCAAACTTATTAACTTCTATGGTTTTCCTGGTAGACAGACTCAAAATTAATTAATGGGCTCTGTTAAACAAACCATATCATAAACAAAGTAATGCGTATTGAATTTCAGTTCCTTCTCTGGGTGCCAATCAATACATGTCATTTTGTTCATCATAATGTTTATGTGGCCTGAAAGATTCCCTAAAAAGTGGACAAACCCAAACTTGTTAACTTCTGGGCAAACATAAATCTGTTAACTTGTGGGCTCTCCTAACTCACAAACCCAAACTTGTTAACTCCTAGGCTCTCTCCTAATGGACAAACCCACTTCTTGTTGTTGTTAATTCCTGAGTTTCCTAATGGATAAACCCAAACATGTTAAATTCTGGTGTCTTCTAACTCACAAACCCAAACTTGTTAACTCTTGGTCAAGCCCAACTGTGTTGACTCTTTCTTTGACTCTCCTAATAGATAAGCCCAACTTTGTTAACTCTTTCTCAGACTCTCCTAATGGACAAGTCCAACTTTGTTAACTCTTTCTTGGACTCTCCTAATGGACAAGTCCAACTTTGTTAACTCTTTCTTGGACTCTCTTAATGGACAAGCCCAACTTTGTTAACTCTTTCTTGGACTCTCCAAATGGACAAGCCCAACTTTGTTAACTCTTTCTTGGACTCTCCTAATGGACAAGCCCAACTGTGTTAACTCTTTCTTGGACTCTCCTAATGGACAAGCCCAACTTTGTTAACTCTTTCTTGGACTCTCCTAATGGACAAGCCCAACTGTGTTAACTCTTTCTTGGACTCTCCTAATGGACAAGCCCAACTGTGTTAACTCTTTCTTGGACTCTCCTAATGGACAAGCCCAACTGTGTTAACTCTTTCTTGGACTCTCCTAATGGACAAGCCCAACTGTGTTAACTCTTTCTTGGACTCTCCTAATGGACAAGCCCAACTGTGTTAACTCTTTCTTGGACTCTCCTAATGGACAAGCCCAACTGTGTTAACTCTTTCTTGGACTCTCCTAATGGACAAGCCCAACTGTGTTAACTCTTTCTTGGACTCTTCTAATGGACAAGCCCAACTGTGTTAACTCTTTCTTGGACTCTCCTAATGGACAAGCCCAACTGTGTTGACTCCTGATGAACCAGAACCTCTTAACTCTGTGCTAACACTTTGAGCTAATGATGATTTAAAATATAGACCTCCTTGCCTTTCAACAACCAGCTGATGCAGTTTATAATAGGACAATGTCTTCTTGTGTGCACGAACGAGTGCAAAACACAAGCTGGCAGTGATACTCCAAGGGGATTAGAACAGTTATAAAATACACAAATACAAAAGTCTGGTCCAGTTTCCCCAGGCATCACACGCTGTCACAGACAGCGACGGTTCCGATGAACAAAAATGACAGTCTCTTCTGTGAATTTCATCTGAACATAAATGACATGACAGTGCCCTTGAACTCGATTAAAGGTCACCAACAGTAATACCACACAACAGAAAGCACCCCAGCTGCAGTTGCATTATCATCATCACCATCATGAAACGCTCACGATGTCCGCGAAATGAAACATGAAAGATAACACCAGTTATCCCTTGGTGCCATTGACTAGGACAATCTCTCGGCAAAGCTGAAAGATGGCGGCTGGGAAGGGGTGTGTGAACTGATTGCTGGCGATGACTGGTTGCTTGAGATCACAATTCCTGCGCCACCACCGCCTCCTCCTCCTCCACCCCCAACACTGATGGGTGTTGGAGGACCCAAACTAGAGTAGAAGTTTCCTTCCGTCATATTTCTGAGGAGAAAAACAATGACAGAAGTTAAATTATATAGCTAAGAGTGAGGATCGCCAGGGCATACTCAATCGCAGAAAGAACCAGACCTTGGGTTTTTTTTAAAAAGAGAAGAGATGTCACTGTTCATAGTTTGCTGCCACCATGACCCACATGGCTGCTAAAACCCTCTCAGCCTACATGGTTTATATGTCAAGTAAAAGCTAGACTGGGAGTCCATGTGGCGGAGCGGCTAGACGCTTGCCGCGGATCGGAAGGTCGTGGGTTCGCTCCCTGAAGAAGCCGGATTTTTACAAAAATGACCTTGGCTCCCAGGTCAACCCAGCCTTGAGTGGGTACCGGGTGCAGTCCTGTGAAGTAGAGGCAGCCGGCGTGATGCTGACCACATCACCCATCTTGTGCCGATTGGTCTTTAAAAATATAGGTCTAGCCCTATTCGCCTAAAGTCGTGGAAAAGGGTCCTTTTTTTAAAAGCCAGACTGTGAACAAACAGAAAATGTATTTCATTGCAGAAGCTCATTCCACCACCTAAGAGCATAAATTGAGAGTTGGTGTTGGAGTATTGATGAAACGGTTGTTTAGCGAGAACCATTTCACAGATACCTTCGTTGGGTTGACCTGTGCTCCTGCCTCACCATACTAACTGGTTATGTGGTCAAGTTCAGACTGAAGTTCCTACGCAACCTCATTCCGGTCCTTGCCCTGACGGTACACAAAAACATCATCTGCATATGATAATGTCCTCCCTCGTCCTGTATCTGTTCACCTGTGACCTCACAGTGTAGGCATTGGATAATACTGGAGATAGGGATGAATCCTGTGGCAGGCCAGGATGTATTGTTGTTGATTAGGAGGCCAAAGTGCCACACTTAAATACTACATTTTGTTGTAAAAGGGCCGTAAAGATCCATTTGAGAAGGAAAGAACTGATTTGAAGTTCCAGTAGCCGTAACATTAAAAAGTCCAAGAGTACTACTCGGTTGTAAGCATCCTCAAGGTCAATAGCAGCTGCACACGTTTCAATGCCTGAATGGAAACTTTCATATACTCAGTGTGCAAAAACAGCAGCATTACTCCAAGTTTCTCTTTTAGGGCTGTAGCCACAAAGGGTAGGCGGAAAGACACCTTGCCTTTCGAGCCTGCCGGATATTTTGTGGGCAATAATCTCCTCACCAGCTTGCCTATCGTGCTCTGCATTGTTATTACTCTGTATCTCTAGATCTTTTTATGGTCGTTACAAGCCCTCGGCAAAGGATTATTAAATAGATGTATGTATACTCTTCTTCGATAATTCCGCTCCTAATGCTGTTGTTGTAAACAGCTGCTAGTTCTGCTAGCTCCTTCTCAGAACATTTGTCCACATCTTCATATTGTATGCCATCTGGACCCATCTGTGTGCTCATCGTAGTGCAACCTTAATCTTATGGACAGTCACAAGGTCCTCATTATCGACTTCCTGGGCCTTACACATATCTGAGATAGCTGTTCTGGACATGTTGTTCCCTCACTGGTTTTTATGGTCACTGTTCTAGATAGTGGGTAAACAGAGCCTTGCCCGTATGTTCCTCTGATTTCTGCCAAGCAAGATCTGCAGTCTGGAAGTCAGGAATGCCTCAACTCTTCCCTGCCCTGTTCATAGTCTTGTGGAGTCGCCAGAACAGTAACTACACTCATAGTTTGTAACCGCCTACTCTAATGTATTTTATCTCACACCCACCCTACTGTACCTTTTTCGTATCAGTATGTTATTCACATAAGTGTTTTTTTAAATGCTATTTTAAAACATATGCTTTTCATATCTATGCATTTATTTCGCCATTTAACTATTTCATGTCTACCCAACAATACAACCTAATATGACACTTTATGCCTGCGTTGTTTACATCAATCATATTGGTCTCTGGAAATTTTTGACAGAGAAATATGTACGACCCTTGGAACATCCACATCCTTATTACATACAGCCTGTAAGTTTTGTGCTTAATAATGACACTTCTGTAAAGTCTGAGAACCAACCTTGCACATTACACTAATACCTGACTTTGGAGATGGAAAGTACAGGGTTAGAAGGCAAGTCCAAGGGAAAGAAAGCTGTACTTTAGTATAGGGTTAGAAGGTAAGTACGGTGAAAAGAAATCTGTACTTAGTACAGGGTTGAAAGGTAAGTCAGAGGGAAAGAAAGCTGTACAGGGTTGGAAGGTAAGTCTAAGGGAAAGAAAGTTGTACTTCAGTACAGTGCTAGAAAGTAAGTTTAAGGGACAGAAAGCTGTTACAGGATCGGAGGGTAAGTATAAGGAAAAGAAAGCTTTTACAGGGTTGAAAGGTAAGTCTAAGGGAAAGAAAGCTTTACAGATTTGGAAGGTAAGTCTAAGGGAAAGAAAGCTATATTTTAATACAGGACTAGAAAGTAGGTCAAAGGGAAAGAAAGCTATATTTTAGTACAGGACTAGAAGGTAGGTCAAAGGGAAAGAAAGCTATATTTTAGTACAGGACCAGAAGGTAGGTCAAAGGGAAAGAAAGCTGTTATAGGGTTGGAAAGTAAGTCTAAGGTAAAGAAAGCTTTATAAACTTGGAAGGTAATTCTAAGGGAAAGAAAGTTGTACTTCAATACAGGGCTACAAGGTAAGTCTAAGGGAAAGAGAGCTGTACTTCAATACAGGGCTACAAGGTAAGTCTAAGGGAAAGAGAGCTGTACTTCAATACAGGGCTACAAGGTAAGTCTAAGGGAAAGAAAGCTGTACTTCAATACAGGGCTGCAAGGTAAGTCTAAGGGAAAGAGACTGTACTTCAATACAGGGCTACAAGGTAAGTCTAAGGGAAAGAGAGCTGAACTTCAATACAGGGCTACAAGGTAAGAAGTCTAAGGGAAAGAAAGCTGTACTTCAATACAGGGCTACAAGGTAAGTCTAAGGGAAAGAGAGCTGTACTTCAATACAGGGCTACAAGGTAAGAAGTCTAAGGGAAAGAAAGCTGTACTTCAATACAGGGCTACAAGGTAAGTCTAAGGGAAAGAGAGCTGTACTTCAATACAGGGCTACAAGGTAAGTCTAAGGGAAAGAGAGCTGGACTTCAATTTAGGGCTACAAGGTAAGTCTAAGGGAAAGAGAGCTGTACTTCGCTTCATGGTTGGATGGTAAGACTAAGGAAAAGAAAGCTTTACTTCAATACAGGACTAAATGTCTCTACACAACCTCCAGAAGACAGGTGCAAAACCTTTCAAGGGCTTGGAAAAGCTGAACTTTAATACATCATCTGAAAGAGACAAAACTCAGGCTTCTAGAGGATCTACCAAACAAATCAATCCTAATGCATGAGTCTTTCACATCTAATCCACAGTGTGCATGTAATGTTAATAACAACAGACAAACACTGACTTAGACTTGAGTTGTGCTGGCTTTAAGTAATCATCAGATGCCAGTTGTAACACATCTGGTCTCATCTCCTTCTTATACTGCAAGCACCGCCGGATGAAATTCTGCACAAGACAAAGAAGCAGAAGATACAACTACCAAATAGGCAACAAATGATGGCATGCATTTAATTATTAGCAAAAGATTGAACACAAAAGAATTCCTATCCCACTTTTGGTGCCCCAAAAAGGAGGCCTTGAAGAATTAATGGTGAAGGTATATATATGCCTTTACTGTCAACACACAGCATGTCGGGCAGGCTTTTTTGTATTTTTTTATTTGAAACCTCTGAAGGAAACTAACTTTTGTTTCTTCTTCTCCCTTTTCCAGTTATCTTCCCATCGAAGCAGAGGTTTTCAGCTCACTCAGGCAATGTCTTCATATCTTTCGCCACCCCGTGGAGCTATCTCCATGTTCTCCATTTGTATTATTCTAATATTCCAGGTAACTATTCTCAGAGATATTATTGGGTCGAAGAGGGTAAGCTTGTGATTCAGTCTTACAGTAACTTTATCTGATCCACATCAGTTACTGGGTGAAGTCAAACAATTAGTTTTATTCCACTGATATATTTCTACAGGTCACTTCTGGTAATATGTGTGCTTACATGTAGTGGAATGTATTAATATCACACACCCCACTGATGCATGTGTCTTCTTCTTCAGCGATCTCTGGTCAGGTACCTTATATACCAGGGACCATCAACTAGGATGTCAGCTTAAGGTCTCTCGGGTTTGCCAAAAGTGTAGCTGTCAGGTCTACTGGGTGTGGCCACATGTTGCTTCACAGCTCTGCCAAGAGAGGACAGTCATGCAGGATATGTTCTGAAGTCTGTTCAGCACAAAGACACTAGCTGAGGGCTCTTTCACCCATACTTAATGTATATGAGTATTGAGTCTAAAATATCCAGTGCATAAGCGAAAGATGGTGACTTGGCCTGTTTCTTTTCTAATACATTTCTGATTTTCTCTTAAATAGGGCTAATACACATTTACATATTGAAAAACTGCACATACAATAGCAGTACTTAATGTTTTGCAAATCAAAGAACATGTAGATTAGTCTTCGACTACCAAGGTAACACAGTGTTAACAATGGACTGAGTGGGTTGCGCACTTCAGTTAAAAGGACAGCCTTTCAAACCCAGGACAGGGTAGTACTTAGTGCAGTCATTATAGGTGCTCTAATTACACATTCTCAGGAACACGCTGAGATTGGCCTCACTGGATTGCCAAGCCGTGTACGACTCTTGACATCCCCAGCTGGTCAATCTTTCAGGAAGTAGCCCAAAAGGTTGGGGGGAAAGGGGGGGGGGGGGGGGCAGACAGCTGATAGGTTAAATTGTGTGTGTGCTTTGTTATAAGTTGATTATATGATGGCCTATTTAATTTGGTCTCTTGAAAAAAAAAACATTCTTGGCTCCCAGGTCGATCTAGCATAAAATGGGTACCAGGTTATAACTTTGGAAGTAAAGGTGGCCAGGGTAACCTGACAGCATCACCTGTCATGTGCTGCCTGGTGTATAATAATTTAGATCTAGTAGTGTACACCAGATGCTCCAAAGTTGTGTTGGAGGGGGGGGGGGAGGAGAGAGAGGGGGGAGTTTTGAACTTATATGCTGTAAGCCTTCTAGGGGAAAACAAACAAACAATGGGTGATGAGATCAAGAAAAACTACATCTCAGACATGAACTAACCTTGGCCTCCTGAGTAACTGGGGGTTTGGATGCGAACTCCACCTCTGTCGCTTTTAATATTGTGTTCTCTTCTAAAATTGCCGCCTGAGACAGATTGTGCCCAAATGGCTGCAAACAATGGAAACAACGGTCAGTCTAACTTATTTCCAGTGAACTAAATAATAGATTTAAGGGTGAGATGACTGACTTCACTGTTCTAGGGTTTTATCCCAGATTGGTCAGTCTCTGAGCAGAGCAGCTTGCCACCTGACAAAGTGTCAACTCTATAGCTCCCCAAATTTCATTTTTCAACTAAAGGAAGAAAAAAAATCTGCAAGCTCTTCCAAGAACTGCATGCAGTCATTAATGCAGAAAAGCAAAGACAGTACTAATGCTAAAAAACTATACATTTCATACATAAATAATCAAATCCAATCAACATCAAAACTGTGACAGTTGATAAGTTGACTGGTTTTGTTGTTGTTGTTGAGCATAGCTATACAGTTCTGGGATACCTCACAATCTTTATGGAAGAAAGATATGCTATTCAGCTGAAATGCTATAGAAAGATTCTTAGAATACCATGGACAATGAAGAAAACCAATAATGGCCTTCTAAAAGATTTGAACATCAAGGAAAATTGACTCGTAAACAGCATCCTGTCTTGGAAGCTGGAATACTTTTGCCACAGTAAACACCATGTAAAGTGGAAAGAACAGTCACAGAGGACATGGTACCAGGTAGAAGGGACAGCATAAAGATAGGCATAGAACATAGGAGACATCTTGTGCAAGAGAGTGCACCTGGGGATAGACTGAGTTTCTTTCAGGTGGGCTGTGATGGCAGCCAAGTTCTGATAAGGACCTACTACACTGTATATGTGTGTGTACAGTCTCAATATGTGTGTCAAGGCCCATAAGATCTCTAATATAATCACATCGATGTGCCATCCTTTGTCTTTCATTTTTTCTGGCAGTCAAGTAGCAGATTTGAGACAACACTTCTTTGGTTATTTCTGCCTGTCTTTTCCATTGCTGCTGATTTAAATCTTTAACTAGTTCTTGCAAAGAAAATCTGCTTCTTATATACAATGTGTATTTGATAGTTCAATGACTCCTTCATTACACATGTATAGAAGGGTGAACATATTCTATCACAGATGTTTAGTATTGGTAAGCTGAACAGTGTTTCAATCTGCATGTACGGTAAGCTGAACTGCCTATTACATATGTATGGCAGGGTGAACAATGTATAGGAGAGTGGACAGTAAATATGCTCCATTGCACATGTACAATGAATATGCTCCATTGCACATGTACAGTAAACATGCTCCATTGCTCATGTACAGTAAACATGCTCCACTGCACATGTACAGTAAACATGCTCCCTTGCACATGTACAGTAAACATACTCCCTTGCACATGTACAGTAACATGCTCCACTGCACATGTACAGTAAACATACTCCCTTGCACATGTACAGTGAACATGCTCCACTGCACATGTACAGTAAACATACTCCCTTGCACATGTACAGTAAACATGCTCCACTGCACATGTACAGTAAACATACTCCCTTGCACATGTACAGTGAACATGCTCCACTGCACATGTACAGTAAACATACTCCCTTGCACATGTACAGTAAACATGCTCCACTGCACATGTACAGTAAACATACTCCCTTGCACATGTACAGTGAACATGCTCCACTGCACATGTACAGTAAACATACTCCCTTGCACATGTACAGTAAACATGCTTCCTTGCACATGTACAGTAAACATACTCCCTTGCACATGTACAGTAAACATGCTCCACTGCACATGTACAGTAAACCTGCTCCACTGCACATGTACAGTAAACATGCTCCATTGCACATGTACAGTGAATATGCTCCATTGCACATGTACAGTAAACCTGCTCCACTGCACATGTACAGTAAACATGCTCCATTGCACATGTACAGTGAATATGCTCCATTGCACATGTACAGTGAATTTGCTCCATTGCACATGTACAGTGAATTTGCTCCATTGCACATGTACAGTGAACATGCTCCACTGCACATGTACAGCAGAGTAGATAGTGCAACAATTATAAGAATGTAACATTGTTCTTCGTTCACGTGAAGAGAAATGAAACTTTAGTGGACATTATGACAATTAAAAAAACTTCAAAGAAATGATTCAGAATGATCTAAGACACAGCTATTCAACTGGCCTGCAGACGCCTAGCAAATGATCCGCAAGCATTGATAGTTGTAATGCATTATTGAATTTCTACGCCGGGGTTGGGTCCTCTATCCTGTGACGATCCTCATTTTTAAAATGTAGGGCCCTATGGTAAACTTAGTTGAACAGCCCTGGTCTAAGATAACAGCCAAGGAGAACTAGGAAGAGGAACTGATCTGTGGAGACATGACTGGAGAGACGTGAATGCCTCCATTATGTAGCAAGACATATGGGGATGACACAAGGATGGTACACACACCAGATTCCCATGAAATGAATGGCAAACAAATCTACAGCCTCGCTTGTATTGGCCCACTCACCTTTTTGCCATATAAGCACTGGTAAAAGATGATACCCACAGACCAGACATCAACTTTGGAAGAAATCTTTGGAGGCGTTTTCCCCACCACAAAACACTCGGGCGGCAAGTACCTGAAGACATGTTTCAGACGAGAATCTACAACACTTGTGTCGACTTTGTCAACATTACATCTCCTAGTGAAGAACAGGCCCTCAACCAAACCATTCTCTTGTAGACTTGCTTATGACTGGTTGAATTGATCAAAGTCTTCTATAGGATAAAGCCGCCAGTCTCAAGCCAGACTTTTTAAGTTCTTTTTGGACATTTATAGTAGGTTATACAGGGTCACTTATGCATCCTTGTAACACATTAATGGTTACACATCGTTAATATTCTTTGGTTCCCTTATGTGTCACGCTAACACAGTAATGGTAGATTATACAGCTTCAATATTCCTTGCTTCCCTTATGGAGCCCCGAAACAAATGAATGATAGGTTATGCAGCGGCACAGCTTGAGTATGTGTTGTGACAGTGTGTCTGTTGTCAGTGTGTGCACCTCCACGTGTGTACATGTGTTTGTGTATGTCTGTACTACTGCCTCATTTGTTTTTCTGCTTCATGTGTGTCTGTTCTGTGTGTGTTGCATGTATATTTGAATGCATGAATTTGACATCCATGTTTTTGTAATTTTAATCATCTATGGTTTTAATTTTTAATTGGCACTTCTTGCTATGATAATTTGGACATATAAACACTAAATACTTAATATTTAAATACAACTGCCATGTGAAAGAAAAGTGTTTGAAAGGGCTGAATGTAAGACTAGTCTGTGTGCCCAACCTGTGACCCTTTGGAAATAAAGTTTGTCTGTTTGTTTGTTCTCTCGCCAACATTCATTGTAGATTGTTTTTAATGTCCTTGTTTCCCCCAATCTATTTGTAATCCAATATATTGCCATCTTCTTGGGTAAACAAAAAATGACAAGGTAATTAATAAAGCCTAAATATGGTATGTAATTACAAAGAAAAATAATGTCCTCAGAAGGCAACATCAAAGTAAAGAAAACTGGTCCAAACAGGTCAACTGTTTCAAGTATCTCAGTACCTCCCCTCCATAACAGCAGAAAGTGAATAAAAATGCCTTAAACGAAATGAACACACATTTAGATTTGGTAAGCTGCATCAGAAACCAACAATCCAGATTCGTTAGGCAGGTCAGAAATTATAAAAATCTGGAATGTGTCATAACAGAAAAGTAGGAGAGAAAGAAATGCAGGAATACGAAGAGATATGTTAGTACACTTTGGTCTGATGGCATGGAGGAAGATCTGCATCAGAAATAACAGAGACGACATGAGAAAGAAGGCAAGGAAGTGGTCTGACAACCAACGTTAACAAGGAGAATAAAGATTACCAGTATTTGTATGAAAGACAGCTCTCAAAAGAAAATGCTGAGGGAGGAGCGATGGTGGTAAGGAGATGCAGGTGAAAATGAGTACAAAACAATGCACTTTAGAACAATCAGCATATTTACTGTTTATATTCCTATGTGGGTTCCAACGCCTCATTGAGAGGATAAGGGGGGAATTGGTTGTACAAGTCTACAAACCCTAGTCCTGTTTTTCTCCTTCTTCTGCGTTAGCCCTTAAAAGGTTGGCACATTGTGGTTTACAGCTAGGCTGCGATATCTGCACCTCTCTGCCCAAGATATTCAATTTCAGCAAATCCCTAATTAGACACCTTCTATGACATGCTTATTGGGGGTGGGGTAGGGTCTATTCTTTTTTCTTCTTCACCATTAGGACACAAGTTCTATGAACGTAGGAGAACAGAGGTCAGAAATACTAGAACCAACCAGTATGTTCCAGCTCCTTGTGACGTGAGATCCATGCCAGTCTCTGGGTGAAAATTGGTCTCATCCATCACTTTACTCAAGCCAAAGTCTGTAATCTTGATCTCACCGCTGGCAGAGCCACTGCCCAACAATATATTACCTAGGATATTTCAAAACCAAAACTTAATCATCTGGGATATTTCAAAATCAATATTTTATCAACCAAGATATTTAAATGCAACATATATCAACTGATTTGAAATTCAATAATTTATCAGCCGACATATTTTAAATCCAATATTTTACCAATCGACATATATAAAATCCAATATTTTATCAGCCGAAATATATTAAATTCAATATCTTATCAACAGACCCATTTCAAATCAAACATTCAATCAAAGCAATGTTTTCCCATCGCAAATTTCAACAAAGAAGACATATTTAAATAATGCGGATACAAACAATACATTGCACAATTTATTGCCAGGCTTATTTCGCTGTATCTCATCAGGTGCGTTACTACAGAGTTACATCAACATAAAATAAAGCACAAAACTGAATAAATTCAACTGAAATGCGAATAGTTTCTTCAATGCATTGTCTCTCTTTCATGGCCGCCAGAAGCTCACCGTAGTCACTGACTACCAGGGTAACTTCAAATGTACAAATCCACAAAGAAGACATAAACATTTGATCAGGCAAGTTTACTGCCTGGAACATTTCACTGTATCATCACTGAGTGCCAACTGTTCTATAAATATAGGTCTAACCCTATGTGCCCAATGGAAAAGGGTCCTTTACTTCACTTGGGAGGAAGGGAGAGGGAGGGCTTCGGCTTGGTAAAAGTGCAGTCACCAAAGACTGTGGAGGTTCATTTATTCATTCATGATCCTGCTGTGCCATTATATGTATTATATGATCCGTTCTATCCTGTGCGATCAGTTTAACATTATGGAAGGAATCCAGTCCAGCAGCTTTGGCATTCGTCTAACATTCGTCTTAATGTTTCTTGTGAGCGTCCTCGCCTCTTTAATCCTTCTATTTCGCATTTTAATGCCTGTTTGGTGATTCTCTGCTGGTGTCTTCACAGGATATGTCCAATGTAGCAGTGCTTTTTGAATTCATCATTTTATTTTCATCATTTTTCTCCGACAGTTGTTTTCGAATGCATTTAACTTTCGCCCAAAAACTTATTCTAGTGATTATTTTTGAGTCAAGTAGTGTGCAAGTCTGGCCACTGACTTCTGCAAAGTGGCTTTCACTTGTAACCATCATTATTATACTCTGTGCACCCCACACCATTTGACTTGTCTACCAGAACGGCGTCCTTTCCTGCAAGTTTCTGCAGAAAATATGATTTTTTACAGGGTGGGAGAGGTGTCCCTACAACCACACTCCTCCTTTCTCATTTGGGTTTAAGGACCGGCAATGATGGAGGTTAGGATTTCCCCCCTTTCTTTTTAAAATGTGTAAATTTATATTTCCGAGAAAGATAAAAATTCACAATCCTACAGAAGATGTGAACCTGGAGCTCCTAATTAAGAGTCTGGCATTGTTTAGTGCTTGGCCAGCTGCTTCTCTACTGCAGTCAAGCTCTTCTCAACTCTTTGAGTCCTAAGGAACGCATCATACGTTCATGGCTTCCTACCTAGAAGCCCAATGATGCGCCGATTTAATTATTTTTTTTACTACCCCCTGGGCCTGTGATGCTAAACCCCCCGGGACTCAAAGAGATAATTTGTTCATTCCCATTCCAAGATCCAGTTCTATACAGCAACATGTATCAACACATTTAAACATACATCAAGAGAACAAAAGAGAACAATGACTTTAAACTAACTGGATACGGCACACAAATATTGGCTTACCTGGCTTGAGGTCATAATGTATCACAGGTGGTTTGATCTCATTGAGATAACGAAGGGCGCTGACCGTCTGAATAATGATGGACCGCGCTTCCTTTTCTGGAATGCTCTTGTTTTGTTTCAAATAAAAGTCAAGATCATTTCCATTCTGGTATTCTAACACAGTACAAAACCTGCGGACAGATAACAATCACGCAAGCATCAATAGAGAAATCTCTCAATCATTCATATATAAATAATTCCCCCCAAAATTTAACCCTTTGCAGTGAAATACAGTTACTGCACTGACTTTTCTAGATATACTGCTCATCTCACTGTCAGAAACAAAAGACAGTCACAAAATTAACATTGCAATTGCAAATTTACCACATGATCTATTTGTTTACATAACACGGGATTGTTAATTTTTACTGCCACAGCTTTTGCAAATTTAAGTAACTTTGTCTTTTTAGTGCATTGTAAATAACATGGAAGACATAGTCTTTTTCAAATATGTGCCCAGAGTCAAGTGATGTCCCATCAAAGAGTTCAGATTTGTCCTCTTAGTTGGTCTTTGCACACTTGCAGAATCTCTTCTTTATTATTATACGGTGTAACTCTGTGTAATGCCCAAGACAGAGAAATATTCCAGGCACTAAACTGAGCAGTTTATTGTTTGTGTCCGCCTCAAATGGGTACCAGGATGGGCTGTCCTGGGAAAGTAAAGACGGCCGGCGAAATGCTGACCACATTACCCACCGAGTGCTGATTGGTCTGTAAAAATATGGGTGCTCTTCCCATATGCCCGATGCGCCTAAGGGCTTGAAAATGGATCTTTACTTTTTACTTTACAATCAATTCTGCCTTATGAAATAAAATCATTCTGACAAAACTACAATAGCTCATGTTAAAATACTGACTGATCACAAACATTCAGTTATTTAAAGCATTAATTCAGTTTCCATTCTCTTTTAAAATCCAAGAAATGAAATAAAGCTAAGAAAATATTAACAACTGGTAAACAAGAAGTGTGGATTAACTTCACCTGACTTTGCGGCAATAAACAAAGCAAACAAGATACAGTAAATTGTGGTATACAAGTCGAGTTTTCAAGCCTAACAAACCCCCTCCTCACTCCAACAAAAAAAATCATGACACAGTCAAACTGTGGTGCACGAGTCACGTTTTCAAGTCTAACAGATCTTTCCAAAACAACAGGTCAACTGACACAGTGGGTAGTAAAATCTTAACCTTTGCTATGTAGTTGTAAACAAGTTGAATTTACCGTACCTAAGGCAGACCAATTCAAATATTTCCACTAAAACTTTTATTTAATTAACAGATTTGGCAAATTAAGACAAAAATGTTTCGGAGCCGACATATATGCTCAACTCAGAATTTTGAAATGGAAAACCTTGAAGCCGACTTGTATGCCAGGTCAACATCTACCCTACAATTTATGTGAAGTTCTACATTAAGATAAGAAACTATTAATAATAAAATAAGCAAGAAAACTAAATAAAATACATGGTGTGTAACTCTGAACCTGAAGCTGCAATATTTAGGCCCAGATTGGGGGGGGGGGGGAGATGTGGATATATGGAGCTACGGGATATGGATACTTTCCATCTGAGGACAGAGGCAAAATGTGATCCAATGAAAATGGCTGGGAAATTATGAGAAGAAGAGTTAATACACTGGTAGGACCTTATATCTCTCTAAACACCTGAAGTAGTCAAAGTGAAAGTGAAAAAGAAAACTTTAGGATTGACAGGATCAAAGTGAAAGTGAAAAAGAAAACTTTAGGATTGACAGGCTAGTGTTTAGGTGCCACACTATTGTGGCATCCAGAGTTTAATGAATGTGCGAATAAACAAAAATCCACTACTAAAAAAAAAAAAAAACAGGCACTAATTACCGTAAACCTAAATGTAACTTACGAATTGTTATCTATTTCAAAGACATCAAAGAGTTTCACAATACGTGGATGGTCGAGTGACTTGTGAATGTTGTACTCCCGCAGTGCGTGCCTGAAACAATAAAGCATGAATAACCCACTGTGTTGCACATATGTTACTGAGACAGATTATAGTATCACTGTATTGCAACATGCATGTCATAAGAGGCACCCAATCTCTCTCACCATCCTATGATGTGTATGTCTGCAGCCAGACAGTTAGGCATTTTCTTGCATTCTTCTTCTGCTGTGTTCCCTCTTAACAGGGTATTTGGAACAATGTGTTGTGGTTTATAGCCAGGCTGCAATATCTGCACCTTTCAATCCAAAACATCCGATTTCAGCAAATCTATAATTATTCATCTCCTTTGACAACATGGTTAGAGGCAGTAAGCCTACACCCCCACCCCGCCCAAACCTACGGGGGCTGGGACAAACAGAGGGTTAGACGCAGTAAGCCTACACCCCCACCCTGCCCAAACCTACGGGGGCTGGGACAAACACAGGGTTAGAGGCAGTAAGCCTACACCCCCACCCCGCCCAAACCTACGGGGGCTGGGACAAACACAGGGTTAGACGCAGTAAGCCTACACCCCCACCCCGCCCAAACCTACGGGGGCGGGACAAACACAGGGTTAGACGCAGTAAGCCTACACCCCCACCCCGCCCAAACCTACAGGGGCTGGGACACAGGGTTAGAGGCAGTAAGCCTACACCCCCACCCCGCCCAAACCTACGGGGGCTGGGACAAACAGAGGGTTAGACGCAGTAAGCCTACACCCCCACCCCGCTCAAACCTACGGGGCCCGGGACAAACACAGGGTTAGAGGCAGTAAGCCTACACCCCCACCCCGCCCAAACCTACGGGGGCCGGGACAAACAGAGGGTTAGACGCAGTAAGCCTACACCCCCACCCCGCCCAAACCTACGGGGGCCGGGACAAACAGAGGGTTAGAGGCAGTAAGCCTACACCCCCACCCCGCCCAAACCTACAGGGGGCCGGGACAAACACAGGGTTAGAGGCAGTAAGCCTACACCCCCACCCCGCCCAAACCTACGGGGGCTGGGACAAACACAGGGTTAGACGCAGTAAGCCTACACCCCCACCCCGCCCAAACCTACGGGGGCCGGGACAAACACAGGGTTAGACGCAGTAAGCCTACACCCCCACCCCGCCCAAACCTACAGGGGCTGGGACAAACACAGGGTTAGAGGCAGTAAGCCTACACCCCCACCCCGCCCAAACCTACGGGGGCTGGGACAAACAGAGGGTTAGACGCAGTAAGCCTACACCCCCACCCCGCTCAAACCTACGGGGCCGGGGACAAACACAGGGTTAGAGGCAGTAAGCCTACACCCCCACCCCGCCCAAACCTACGGGGGCCGGGACAAACAGAGGGTTAGACGCAGTAAGCCTACACCCTCACCCCACCCAAACCTACGGGGGCCGGGACAAACACAGAGTTAGAGGCAGTAAGCCTACACCCCCACCCCGCCCAAACCTACGGGGGCTGGGACAAACACAGGGTTAGAGGCAGTAAGCCTACACCCCCACCCCGCCCAAACCTACGGGGCCCGGGACAAACACAGGGTTAGAGGCAGTAAGCCTACACCCCCACCCCGCCCAAACCTACGGGGGCCGGGACAAACAGAGGGTTAGACGCAGTAAGCCTACACCCCCACCCCGCCCAAACCTACGGGGCCCGGGACAAACACAGGGTTAGAGGCAGTAAGCCTACACCCCCACCCCGCCCAAACCTACGGGGGCCGGGACAAACAGAGGGTTAGACGTAGTAAGCCTACACCCCCACCCCACCCAAACCTACGGGGGCTGGGACAAACACAGGGACCTTGCAATCTGAAAGTTACTGATTCTATTCCAAACTCCAGTGTTTGTGTGGAGGTTATTCAGAGATCCCTGGGTGTCCCTGCTGGAGCAAAAGAATCTGTGCTTCGTGTGAAGCTCTCAGTGGCCAACTAGAAGACTGACGGCAGTGGAAGACTTTCACTTTGAACTCACCAGCCCTCTCACATGAATAAACAGAGGGGAAAACCCTTGAGGCCATATAAATATTAAATGCGATAAACAAACAGACAATGTATTGATTAGCACTCACAGAAAGAAGTAGAAAGATAGAAGAACACACTAGACAACATAACAATCAAAAGCTATAGTTACCGTGCCGGGAATCAAACCTGTCACCTACAAATGATGTGTCCGTCTTGCTATGGAAACAAGTGCACTAAGAACATGTTCAACTAGGCACTCCCAAAAAAAGTGTCTTCACTGGCCATATATATCGTACAGCTTGAAATCCACAACTATGAAATACGGATGAATTTATCTCAAACCACTGAGGTGGAACCATAGGTTACAGAAATTTATATTAACAAAGCATAGGTCGAATAACATTCACAGCAACGATTTATAAACACAGTAAACTGTAATGCTTTGTCTAGAAAACACAAACATTTAAGGAAGGTATTTGACTGGTAGGTTCAATTGTGTATACATCATTCATATAATTAAACACAGGGGGAACCCTTGAGGCTGTATGAATATTAAAAATAATAAACAAACAATGTATTGATCGGCACTCACAGAAAGTATAAAGATAGAAGAACACACTAGAAAACATAATAATAGAAAGCTATAGTTACCGTGCCGGGAATCGAACCTGTTCCCTCTAAATGGCGTGTGCGCCTTGTTATGGAAACAAGTGCACTAAGAACATGCTCAACTAAGCACCTGCAAAAATCTATATTTCTACTTCTTTCTCAGAGTGCTGATCTATACACTGTCTGCTTGATTATTACTCTTAATGCACATTAGGGGTTAATAGACAGGAAAAAAAGAATATCAGAAAAACAAATATTCAAAGAAACACATTTTACTTGACATAATCAAAAAACATGGTAGCTTAGAAAGATAAGTAAAAGAGTGGTATATAGGCTTGGGTTGGCCAAAACGAAGGTGAACTCAGGAAATTAGAGATGCTGTAGGCCTAAAAATGTCCAAGGCAGGAGAACTGGCAAAGATCGAGAGTCAATCCAGCAGGCCCCAATGAGAGATGTTCTGTAAAGAACTCGCTATATAGCACTGACACAATGACAACTCGCTATATAGCACTGACATAATGACAACCCGCTATATAGCACTAACACAATGACAACTCGCTATATAGCACTGACACAATGACAACTCGCTATATAGCACTGACACAATGACAACTCGCTATATAGCACTGACACAATAACTCGATATATAGCACTGACACAATGACAACTCGCTATATAGCACTGACACAATGACAACTCGCTATATAGAACTGACACAATGACAACTCGCTATATAGCACTGACACAATGACAACTCGCTATATAGCACTGACACAATGACAAACAGAAAAACTGCCCATAACAAGCAAACCTTACTTTATATAATTTGCCTTCTTGTCCTCCTTCCACTCCCTGTTAAGCTGGTGAATTTTACAGGCCACATACCTCTGCTCCTTGAGATCAAAACCCTGTTAAAATGATCAGACAAAGATATATGTATGTGTATAATATACCTCACATAAATCATACAATCTGTTCACCTCTCCACACCACATCCCATCAGAACATAAGTTACACACAGTTGAACACAGACACACGAATGAACATAGTTATACAAATGAACAGACATACAAATGAACCCAGAACACAGACCCATGAATGAACATAGTTATACAAATGAACCCAGAACACAGACACACGAATGAACATAGTTATAAATGAACCCAGAACACAGACACACGAATGAACATAGTTATACAAATGAACCCAGAACACAGACACACGAATAAACATAGTTATACAAATGAACAGACATACAAATGAACCCAGAACACAGACACACGAATGAACATAGTTATACAAATGAACCCAGAACACAGACACACGAATGAACATAGTTATACAAATGAACCCAGAACACAGACACATGAATAAACATAGTTATACAAATGAACAGACATACAAATAAACCCAGAACACAGACACACGAATAAACATAGTTATACAAATGAACAGACATACAAATGAACCCAGAACACAGACACACGAATCAACATAGTTATACAAATGAACCCAGAACACAGACACACGAATGAACATAGTTATACAAATGAACCCAGAACACAGACACATGAATAAACATAGTTATACAAATGAACAGACATACAAATAAACCCAGAACACAGACACATGAATAAACATAGTTATACAAATGAACAGACATACAAATGAACCCAGAACAGACACACGAATGAACATAGTTATACAAATGAACAGACATACAAATGAACCCAGAACACAGAAACACGAATGAACATAGTTATACAAATGAACCCAGAACACAGACACACTAGTAAACATAGACAGAGAAGTGAACATAGACACACAGCTGAACAGTCACACAAATGAACATAGTCGCTGATTACTGATTTACTGATGTAAGAATCTACATCATAGCACACCTGACATACTAACAGATGCTCCGTCTCCCACAGCAAATAATGTAAGATGTAGATCCGAACTGTTCCGATAGCACTCTGATTATACACACGCTGTTCTCTTCCTCTCATCCATCCCTCCTTGCCGGATCCACACTTAATTCCTAGTTCACACATTCTTGCTTATGTTATTTTATCTAATCTCATGTCTTCTGCCAAAAGTCGTTCATATATGGTCTTCAGAATATCTCCCTTGTCCAGTATGAGTGTTCCTGCAGCTTTCGCTTTTGTAGTCAGAAAATTTGCTCTTTCAATCCCTCGCACTCCTGCATATTCCGGAGAGTATATCTACGCGATTCTCTACAATGTTGGTGTACTGATTCATGGTACCCACTTATGCCACATTAGTCCATTTTGAACTTTCCACAATGCCAACTGAGAATCAGACACAATAATTCCTCTGGTAACTTTATTTTCTGCTATCCGCTTTAGAGCTGCAGTGATTGCCTCCACTTCCATTCTCATGCTTGACACTGTAGGAAAAAAAAAGCTCCATTTCGTTTTGTCACAATTTCTCCCTTCATTCTAGCTGAAAATCCCCAGCCAGATCTTACACATCGATGAACAGAACCATCCGTGTACACTGCAGCATCATCTAGTCCAGCCTTTCCATCCCTGCGTATTTGCTTGACTGAGGCCACTGCCTCAATGGTATATTCAGCTAGTGCCATCCACGACTTTCCTCTTTTCAACCCGCCTTTTCTTAAATCGTTCAAATTAACATGCAGTGGTTGATATAGTCACACAAATGAACATTAACAAACAGATAAACGCAGGCACGCAAATGAACAGACACACACACACACACACAAAAAGTGCTTTACCCAAAACAAAAAAATAACTACCCATCAAGGCCTGCTAAAACGACACCTGATCCCTAGCTAATTTGATGCCAAAGATGTCTATGATACCATAGTTCTACTTATTCTAGAATCGCCACATTGATGTACATTCATTATCCTGCCAACTGTTCTGTTGTTAAGTGGTCATAAAACCATGAGGGCATGCATTGCTCGCATTTATCCTCGAATTTAGACACAGGATGAAAAGAGGAAATGGAAGGCACAGGAAGAAGAATGTCGGAATTTAAAATCAGAATACTGCCACTGGAACAAACCTTGGCAACACCAACAGTTTTCGTCTTCCCTTTATTTCCTAATGAAGCATAGCCCTCAACCAAATCATCCCATCTTTTGCCATTACGTGTTGCCTACCTCATGTCCTATCCATCTTTTTTCACTTCACTCTTAATTCAATTGTTTTTTGTTGCTGTTTTTTTTTTTTTTTGCCTTTTCCCCTGACCCTTCGGGTTCCACCCAGTGCAAGGATATCATCATCATCAAGTGCCCTGCCAGCTGGCATAGGTGTTTATGCATCGCCACAGATCTTGGTCTTTGGTGTTCTGGATCAGTTCCACTGATGATATTCCTCTTAAGCCATCCACCATCATTTCTTTTGGTCTGCCTCTGCAACTTCTACAAGTGATTTTCCCCAGTCGAATCTACTTCAATTCCTGTATCATTCATGTCCCACTTGCACAGATCTCAAATCTACTTCAATTCCTGTCCCACTTGCACAGATCTTTATATCGTAGTAGAGGCCAACCTTGACAACTTCTATCCATCTGTGATTCACCAGAGGATGCTCTTAGGAACTCTTTCCAATACCTCAGTGTCTGTGACCTCCTTGTCTTGCCACTTAATGCCTCTTAGACATTGCATGTGAAGGTTGTTTAGCTGTTTCTCCTGATGTGAATAAGTTGACAAATACAAGCTCAATACAGCAGCACTGATTTCACAGTAGTGCTAATTTTAGAAGTCTGGTACTAATTTTAACTTCCTCCAACTTCCACAGATTTCTTAGTCCAATCAGAATTCATCTTGCCTTTTGTATTCGTAGTTTTTATTTCTATTAGTTCTCCCATCTTTACCCACATTACTGCTTAAAAAAAGGTGTATGAACCCACATCTTGGGAGTGGGATTTCACTGAGAAAAACTGCAATACTGTTTGCCTGGTTCCTTCGCATTATCCCCATGTGCATTTTAAGGTTCTATTTAGAGGGAAAAAGAAAGACTCGCTAGCCCTGTAACAAGCATGTCAAAAAACTCTACTAAATAGAGGTGTTTCCTGATAAGTCGGAGTGCATCTGCCTGAGGGGGTGAGGAACCATTCCCAAAAGGTAAGTCTTTAAAATGGCAGAGCACAAAAAACTCAAATTCTGAAATAAGACTAAAGTCCAGAAGCGGATGAACAATCAGAATCAATTGTCCGCCAAGTTTTAGAATACTAACACTGCTCAAGACTTACTTTATGGACTTCACTGAAGCCACCTTTACCGAGCAAACACAGCAGCAGATATCGATCATTTAACGTTGGATGATCTTTAAACCTGAAACAAAAGTAGTGCTGTTTTAACTGTAGTCTTTCTCTCACTAACTAACCACGTCAAGAACCCGCAATGATATATTTTATATCATAACTGTCTGGATTTCTACAAAATAAGGAAAGAGTGTATTACTTAATTTTCACTAAAATAAAAACAAAACAAAAAAACCAACAACAAAAACTGACAACACACCTTTGAGTAAGTGTGCTTTTATCTTTAACTAACTTAGTGCATGCACATACAACTATTTTTTTTCAGCAGGTATAAAAAAGGAACTGGGTGAGAGGGGATCTTGAGTCTGAGGATTCAGCTCTACACAGAAACAAACTCTAGAGGTTAGAATTGGGTCACCTTACTGATGATTCAAACCTAAGTCTCTTGCATGAGAGCAAAGCATTCTAGCTGCTCAGTCGGTAGTACTATTATGTTCTTGTCATAAGTGCTGTTTTTCACGACATTGTTCATTACTATAAAGAACATCTTTGCAGCACTTTCCAAGGAATATATCAACACTGTAGATAGTTGTCAAAACGTGATTCTGAGAATTCTTGACATCAGATAACCAAACACAGTCCAGATTGAATTAACACTGAAACTGTTTAAATCAACAAGAATGTGATAGAGAGGGATGGAGTTGACAAAAAAGACAAAGTTTATTTAGAGTATCAACTGAATGGATTAATTAATCAACATGACAAAGGATAGAAGTAATAACCACCGTTCTCAAACGGATAAAATATGCATAAACGGTATTTATACAACTACAATTTTAGCATTCAGTACTCATAAATACATTATCACCAGTATTAACTAGATCAGGAGACCGCAGATTGTGCAGAGCTACATGTCAACCATGCATGATGGTGAGATGGAATATCCGAGGCTGTAAATATGTAGCATGCACCAAGTGTCCTTTCAAAACCTGACGCTGAAAGGCAAAAAAAGATCAGAGAAAAAAAAAAAAGATTCAACAAAACAATGTCCAAAAGGGCAGAAAGCATTCAGAGGTCACACTTAACCTGTGACACCTGGATCTACAACCTGGGCATGCTGTAGTAAAAGTGGACCAACAAGGCAGACACTCCACAAAATCCATATGGAAAGTAGCATGCTAGCAATGCTGTATGGACTAGGCTAACCATAATGATGAATCTCAGACGCCAAGATGATTGTGTCACCTGGAGCGAAGCCTGCAGTCTATGCGGTCCTTAAGGCAAGGGTAAGAGACATTATAACCAATTTCTTATAGAAACAATCAGCAAAAGTACCTAGGCGTGTTTGCTGCATTAGACACTGCACATGCATGGGAGTACCAAATATGCAGTAATGCTGACTGTGATAACTTACTGATGATAACATAATCATTTGTGTGACTTAACAGCGCCTAGAAGGTGTGGCCACATGGCATGAGGGGGACAAGAGCTCTGACATGATCTGAGACTGGTGGTGATATTTTTCTTCTTCTTCATGTTTACCGGCTGTAAACACCAGCTACAAGTTCTGGTTGTTCACCCACTCCTGGACTTTACTCTTGCACCAAAACTTGAGTTTTGCATACATGCCTGTTTTACAGGTCTGGTCAAAATGCATGCAGACCTGGTCTATATGCTCTCAGGCACATGCACTCTGAATTAGAGGGAAATGCCCTTAATTAATAGACTTTAACGACATGCTTTTTGGGAGGCAGGGGTTCTATTTTTGCCCCCCCCCCCCATGGGGCCTCAGAACCTTACAGGGCTGGTAATGGTATGTCATGGGAAGCAATGACTGCCGACACACGCAGGCATGACATGATGATAATGACAATAAGAGAAATAAATGGTCTCACCTTGAATTATCTTCATTGTGAATGCGTTTTAATTCTCGTATATGTAGATTCCTTTCTCTCTCTAGCTTCTCCATCTCCAGCTGTAGGTCAGTGTCCTCCTTCTTGAGTGCAGCCGCCCTGAGTTTGAGTATCTCGTCCTGCTCGTAGAACTCTGCCAGGGTTAAGCTGAAAATAATCATCAGTCCATGTTCTTATATCGCATTATCCAAATTAAAAATTATAGGACCATTTCTGCACTATGAGGCTTACTGGGTATTGGTGACACTGTGAGCTGTGGATTCCATAGAGAATGTTTGCTTGTGCTAACAGAGATATGTTGAAAAGCACATATTTGGAAAATGGCGAATGGCTGCTTGCCACAGAGTGGTGTGCCTTAAACAGTAATATGTGTGTGTATCTACTGGTTTGTTATGACTGCTGCTTCCATCAACTATGAATTACAATTTTAGTAACAGACTATGTTAGCACCTCTAGCAACTGCCTTATCCATTTAATGAATGTCAAGCTGTTTGATTTTTTTCAGGACTGCTGTAAAAATTTGACTTGTCGCATAGGACAGCAATGTTAATTTTGTGTGGTTTTCATTTACACAGGAATGGAGCAATAAGGAGTGCGTCATCTTCAATCAAGTTGGAACCCCCATTAACAGACTGGGTATATGGTGACAGCTCCGTATTTTGAGATCAATCGACACTTCAAGAATGTGCTCAATAGTCTAATGGCCACCTTTACTTCCAAGAAAACTTCCTTGTATCCATTTTATGCTGAGTCCTAAAGTAGGGCAGAAGCTAGTACCCTTATGTGCTTGCCTGGTGGTCACAGGATAGAACTGGAACAAGGCAGATATTTCTAATGACCTTGGTTTCCAGGTTGACTTGGCCTAAAAATGGCCAACTGGAAATTTATTTTACAGTCAAGGTGACGACATTACAAACAGAATATTAACTGATGTAGAGGGAAAGAGGCAGACCAAGAAAAAACCTGACTGACTGGACAGGCCTTAGGCATGCAACCATGAAGTCCCTCGCAACTGACCGCCAAAGGTGGAGAGAGCTGATCAGACTGTCAACAGAAACTGGTGACCCAATGACACCCAGTGTTACAGGATGATGATGATACAATTAAAGGGCTAACACAATATTATCTAAAGATGTGGGAAAAGGGCCTTTACTTGTTGTCAGAGGCCAGTTCGGCTACAGGATGAACAGATGTGATGATAGTGAATCATCACCTATGAACGAGTTAACCCTCAGTCAAACTCAGAGCGAGATCGGACAGTTTGACCACAGAATAAACTGGGTCGACTGAACTGGGCGAAGCCCAGGCCCTACTGTTAAGATGTGTTACCGCGTGTCAAGAGATGAACGCTAGCGGGGAACAAAAAGGCTTGGAGAGTTGGCTCGGGGAGTTGAGTTGTGTAGCGGAGACTGGGCTGGACAGACGTAGTATTACAACGGGTAAAACTGATCTTAGTTTAGTGACGGCTAGATTGAATAGTATTTGTGGTTAGTATTCTTGAGATAGGCTGTGTTTCCATTTAATGTTTTGACATGATAGTGTAGAGTTAGTTTCTTGTATAGTAGACGTTCCAAGCAGTTTTTGTTAAGCAGCTAGTGAATGTGTGATATGCATTGTTAATGGCAATAACACTGCCCAGTCATACTTGAACCATTCACCTTGCGTGTGTCACTGAGTCCCGCGTGGCATAGACGGCGGCTTGGTCAGCACTGTTCGGCTGTTAGTTTGGAATCGTGTCCTTGGTATAATTATGGGAACGGCTCGGGTTGAACAGTGAATGTAAAAGCTGCTCAACGCTGGCGATTCGGATAAGGACTGCCAACTTTGTTGAGGTGCTATAAGTTCTATTGTTCATTGTACATTAAAGATTATGTGTGTACTCAGCAGGTGCATATTTTAAGTGTATCGTAGGGTAGTTAAGACTGTTAGCTGGCCTACTTAACAAGCCACAGGAAGTAAATTAGTAAAGTAGGTTCCTGACACTTGTCAATGTTCAGTCAGGTAAACATGAAGATGCAAGTAAATCCTGCAGCATGCTAACACAAACCTGGTTAGTTGCGTATCACTTACAGCAGCAGTTCTCAACCTGTGGGTCGCAGCCCCTTTGGGGATTAAATGACCCTTTCACAGGGGTCACCTAAGACTATCAAAAAACACATATTCGCCAAAGGCATGATGTAGCAGCAACAACAAACTGTTATGGTTGGGGGCGTCACCGCAACATGAGGAACTGTATTAAAGGGTCACGGCATTAGCAAGGTGGAGAACCACTGACTTACAGGATGCTGGAAACTAATTGTTGGCTGTTTGTGCTTTCACTAGAAATTTTGCCGTTTCTTCAAAATCTGAATACTGAGGGAAACTGCTCATACTAAAGTAACTTAATCTTCTACTTCTTCTTCGTGTTTACCGGCTGCAAACTCCAGGCAGAAAGTTCTGGTTGTACGTCCACTACTGACTTTAGTCTTTTTCCAGAACCTGAGTTTTGCATGCACATCCATTTTACAGTTTTGGTTTATCTGTATGCAGACTGTTGGTTCCTCACCCCTAAGGCAGATGCACTCTGACTTAGAAGGAAACATCCTAACTAGTCGCCTTTTACGACATGCTTAAAAGGGAGGCAGTGGGTCTATTCTCTCCCCACACCCTCTCCCCCAACGGGGCTCTGGAGCCCACACTGGGAACTAGCCTAGGAAACTAACAGGAAAGAAAGGACACCTCTATGATCTAGACAGTCACTTACTATTTTTCTCCTGGCTTCAGAAAGTTATCGTGTTTAGCACTTTTTGGTACAGCTGTTGGTTGTTTTCTTTTCATAAGTAACCGCCTCTGTTTGTCTATGTCTTCTTTATCTGCTGTTATCCTTTCTTGTTGTCTGCAATAGAAATAAAGAAATTAAATATCCTACATTATTATTTAAATGTATTTATGTTTTACAGAATCACTGCATCACAGGAAAATACATCAGTGCAGTTACTGAAGGGTATTTATACCCCCTTGCAAACTGCACTCTAGGCAAATACATAAGTGTTCAGTTTCCAAGGGCAGACACTGACCGACATTTATGCTCTCCAAGGCGAAGAAGTCAAGTCATTTGCTTCACACTGTGGAGGTTATGGATGTGTTTCATGGATATGTTCCGTGGATGAGTTTCAAGGATGTGTTTCATGGATATGTTTGGTGGATGCATCGCTCAACTGACGAGTGCAATCTTTATGAAGACCTGTGGGAATTGTTGCTGAAGCTATACAATCAGTGTGTTTTGTGAAACTCTCAGCAGATGGCTTGCCATTCTGCAGGGCAACAAAGCCGATGCTCATGACCTTAACATTTCACCTCCCTGGAGGGTGCCCGGTAACACAGCATGTAACTTACAGCTCAACCTATACCCAGTCATCGCAGTGATGACCCTGACTCTTGCTGAGATGAGACAATTCACCTCAACCCGTTATTTTTAATATAGCAAGAAATTTACTCATTGCCAAGCATGTTTTACTGGCTAGGAAGGTTTGTTTTTGGGCGACACTCCATCACATACAATATTCAGAGACACTGAAAGGTCAATGCAAAGCTGGAAGTTACAAATCAGAGAAGTCTAGGAAGAAAATACCAAAGAAAGAGTCGGGTTATACTGCCTGACTTACTTGATCAGGTCCTGAAATGCCCAGCCATCTACCCAGTTCTCCACAAACGTGGCTCCTTGCCTCTGTGTCACAAACTGGCCAAGCCGAAGTCGGTTCTCCATGCACTTCTGCCGCGTGGTTTTCTTCTCTAATGTACTCTGGGAAATCAAAAGCAGGAGACATACTTAATTTCACAGTTCCTACCACAAGGAAATTAGTACTTAAAAATGTCTTACAAACAACAAAAACAATAAAACCATACCTTTTCAGACATCTTTCAGCACAGTACTTTTAGTTCATAATAATTTCCATCATCATAAAGAATTGCAAACTCTCTATGTGACATAAGGCTAGTTAAATATCCAATATAAAAATTATGCAACATTTCTTTATGGTAAGTAAATTAAAAACAATTTTTTTTATATGTAAAATAAAAATAATAATCATTATGTGTCTTGCCAGCTGGCATGGGCGATCATGTCTCTCCACAAACTGCTACTACGTATATTAGTTTGTACGCCAACACCTCTCCATGCCATGATAAAAGGTTGAAGAATTTTCTCACGCTATCTTGCCGTCTCTCTTTCCACAGATCATTCTAGTGGTCACTACACATTCCAGTTTCCTTCTTCTCATAACATGACCAAAAATGATGACTGTCTCTTTCTGATGCATGTGATAAGTTGTCTTTGAGCCCTCATCTCATTCAGAACCTTTGGTTTTTATTTTTCAGGCTGTCCAAAGAATTCTTCAATAAAACATCTCAAGCAATTGTTTGGCTTGTTTATTCATTGTCCAGGATTCATCTTTTCCTAACCTCCAATAACATGGATTAATTGTCCAGGATTCATCTTTTCCTAACCTCCAATAACATGGATTCATCTTTTCCTAACCTCCAATAACATGGATTTATTGTCCAGGATTTATCTTTTCCTAACCTCCGATAACATGGATTCATTGTCCAGGATTCATCTTTTCCTAACCTCCAATAACATGGATTAATTGTCCAGGATTCATCTTTTCCTAACCTCCAATAACATGGATTAATTGTCCAGGATTCATCTTTTCCTAACCTCCAATAACATGGATTCATTGTCCAGGATTCATCTTTTCCTAACCTCCGATAACATGGATTGATTGTCCAGGATTCATCTTTTCCTAACCTCCGATAACATGGATTCATTGTCCAGGATTCATCTTTTCCTAACCTCCAATAACATGGATTCATTGTCCAGGATTCATCTTTTCCTAACCTCCAATAACATGGATTCATTGTCCAGGATTTATCTTTTCCTAACCTCCGATAACATGGATTTATTGTCCAGGATTCATCTTTTCCTAACCTCCAATAACATGGATTTATTGTCCAGGATTCATCTTTTCCTAACCTCCGATAACATGGATTAATTGTCCAGGATTCATCTTTTCCTAACCTCCAATAACATGGATTCATTGTCCAGGATTCATCTTTTCCTAACCTCCAATAACATGGATTAATTGTCCAGGATTCATCTTTTCCTAACC